GGTCATGTCAACCGTTTAAATAGTTAATTCCACGCATTAAACATTGCAGTTACACAGTACAGCCTTAAAATGGTCACTTCATAACTTCTTTCTACACCCATGTAACACAATTCTTTTCAAAAATCCTCTCACTTTTCTTCTAAAATCACTAATAATCACTCATTTCAACAGTTAGGCTCGGGAGAAAGTATGTAGGTATGGTTGATATATATTTTAGCATAACTGAGATGAGTGTAGGATTAAATGAAAGCATCTTTAAAAGATCCACACAAAATATAGTGAGATCTCACAACCCTTTTGAGAGACCACAGACATTTCTTTTTTTTTTTTTTAAACCCACTTTTTGTCATATCTGAATAAGTTGTAGGGCTCATATAAAGACTGCATAGTTCAAGGTACAACAAAGAGAAATTGAAAGTCTTCTGACATGTCCCCTCCCCTCTTTTGTGTCCAAATATGGGCTTATTTGCTGTTTGACGAGGCATGTGCTTGCTGAAGCTTTTGCCAAGAAAGAATGAGATTATACGTATCCAAGCAGGACAATTTGCTCCACTGCACCAAAAAATAAGAAAGAAAGAAAAATGCTTAGGAAAGACTTGAGCACAGTGACAAAGAGAACCAGTCACTGACCCAACACCCAAATCCTGCAAATCTCAATCCAGCAATCCCTCCCCTCCTCGTCAGCTGTGCTTCCTGTTTTGGTTGCCTACATGCATATGTGATAAAGTATGCAGGGACAAAAGCTTCCTTATAATATTATTTCAGTGACTTCTGTCATTAAATTTGAATTATTCTTTAGTTGTATCCGAACGAAATAGCAAAAGACATAGATTTATTTTGCTATTATTTTGTATGGGATCGGTATGGTTCATGCAGGTTGCAGATAGATCAGCAGTGACATGACATTTCTCTCATACAGGCTTCTTTTCGCTTTCCATCTAGCTGTTTGAAAGCAGATACAGATATGGTTCACACTGTATCTTATACAAAGCAGATGCTTGGATTTTTCCATTAAGTAAACTAGTGACGAGAAACTGTATGACTTAGACTGCACTCAACCAGGACAAGGCATGTATATAAGGGGGTATGATTAGCTCAACTTTGATATCATGATGACTTAGCTCTATTTTAGATCGTCTGTGTTGGTTTCATTAAGAGAATGGAAAGCAAAATTGTACACGTCTTTTTAGCCCATTATCAGGCTCAACTTGAAGGTTGCTCATTATTGATTTTCCCGTATTCATTAAGTCATTGCACACAGAGCAGGACCGCCTTTATTTTTCATCTGCCACATGAGAAAAGGTCACGACAGAGAACAAATGCTGCATAAAACACTCACAAAGCCGTTTCAATTTAACGTAATTGTTTCAGTTGAGTTATTGGAGGGTAAACATAGCTGGCACATTAGTCATGAAAAGTACAAAGTCACTCAGATTGCTTTCTGTCATACTAATACAGCTGAGCAAAGATTTTGAAGCTGCTCCTATCTTTAACTTACTTCACAATAGTCACATTTGTACTGAACAGTTTCACTTGCTCACTCAGGGTTTTAAACAAAAGGGAACTCCCTGATGGGCAATATACCATTAAGGGATGTTTCTCTGTTGGTTGTGTTAGCAGATAGGAAGGTTGACTCGCCATCCTTTTGTTGCTCTGTGTTTTGCTGAGGTTCTCCGGGGCTAATGTTAAGAAATGTCTCCCATATGAGTGACTTTTCTAACAGTAGTTAATTCTGCACTTCCTTCCTTTGAAGCACACTCAGCACAGCTACTTCATATATAGTTTCCATCATGCAAGGAAAGATTCTAGTCAAAATTAATAGTCAAAAAAGGTTACGATCAGCTCCAAAAAGAAAGCGAACAGCCTCCTGGAGTAGTAAGAAATATGAAAAATATATTTTATCAGAAAACCCTAAAATATCCACAGATATCATATTCATCTACCATACCCCAACCAACAAATAGGTTTTAAAGAAATGGGGAAATTTAATTTGCAACAAATAATTTAATTTATCGTCTGAGATTGAATCAGCATTATCATAAATGTGTTATCAACATAATATCGATTTAAATATGATTAATATTGTCAGAGTCAGTTAATTTGTTGTCTCATCAATAATGCTGTATTACTATTACCTCCTTCCATCAAAGAATGATAACAATACTTCATTTTCTGGCATCCAGCACATTTATCTTAATTCATTTCATGCCATTAGTACTACAGTTTGTTTTATTAAACAAAACCGAGTCAAAAGCAAGTATCCTATTACACTACATAGATAACATATAAGAGGAACAAGACCTGCCCCAAAGTGAAATGATATATTCAGCATTTAAGCTTTAAACATTATGATAGAGAAATTGTGGACATTTTTACAAACATGTGGGCTCATAAACATAAATAAAAAGATTTTTCAGGCATCTGAGAAAGAGACGAGTTTCCCCTCCATAGACCTTAATTTTGAGTTGTGTCCACTGACTGACGACAGGTCTGTCATTTAAAGGAGTTATTTCCATATACTCCATTCACTTTGCTCCAAAATCTAAGCAATGTTGGTTAGTGACAAAGGAGGAATGTAAAACTTCTTGAGATAATACTAAACAAGCAGTAACTCAATAATGATGAAGTGCTAGTCATTTCATAGATTTATTTTATGAAAACAAGTTATATGGTACACACTTGACAGAGGGATCTGTCTGTAATGATGATAACTGAGACTCTCTTCTGCTAACAGCACTCCATAAAAAACGTTTTCTTTGTTTCCATGGAACTCGTTCTGTGACCAAGTCAGGTGTATGAATGCTGCAGGCTGGTCATTGATTTGCCTACAACAATGGTGCAGGCATTCGATCAGATAAGGCTGGAACACGCCACCTTGACCCTGTCACTTTATAGAATCGGGTTATTGTCTGTTTTATTTGGCATCATTGGTTTAAAAAAACAGTCCCGGGTTCTTGTTCCTGTTTCTGATAAAATTCTGCTCACAGCTCTGACCTTTCACCTCCTTTTCAAGGAAGCAAGTTCCCACACATGCCCACATGGAGCAGTTTAGCTCCAGTACAAGTATCCCCGCCTGAGAATATACCTGTATATAAGTGTGTGTGGTTTTCAATTATCATTATTGTTATGCCCCAGTATGTTGTAGTACATTCTGTTCTATTCTATCTCTAAAGCTGTAAGTGTTTTGTCATTTTTCGTTAGGTTACGACCTCTTGGATGTTTTAATTAGTGTACTCTTCCCACATGTATTAAAGGCTCATCCCAGTACTTGTTGTTTTGTGTGGTGAGATCATGCTGCGAGTTTTGTCAGAGCCAGAGTTGGCAAGTATATCCCTATTTTAGAGGGCGTCCTCAGAGACGAGTCAAAACTTGAACAATAAGACATCGTTATGCATGTCAGTCAGATAGGAATTCTTGCGTTTCATTGGTATGCAGCAGAGTAATTATTCTCATTTACGTCAGCAGTCAAGGGTTTTATGCTCCAAGGGTGCAATTTCCCGTTCATTAGATCTTATTGCAACTGCTTTGACATCATCACTGTTTTTGAAAAAGAAGTTTCATATGCATTTGATCTCCAACCCCTTGAACCACTACCTGTGGCCTGTGAGGGCAATCGCCTTGAGAAATCACTGACTTTGGAGAAAAGATTTTCCTCTTGGCACCAAAGTTTAGGGGGTTCAGAACTGGGGAAGCAAAAAAAAAAGTATGTCCATCTAAACACTGTTGAAAAGGATGTCAATGAATAATCCATCATTCAAGGAACCTGTGCCACAATGTCTAAAACACTAATCAAATGAGTTTTTTGTTTTCCTGCTACTTCTCAGTCTTGTTTGTGTATTAAGCTGCAATGCAACTGACAACTTACCACACCTGGAATGTGAAACAAGAACCCCTGAATTGCAACTGTTTATTCTTTGAAAAATTCCGCCTCCTAAAACAGTCCAGCCCTCCTCAAATATCCACCATTGAGAAACTAGAAACTGTTTGGTTGAGCAGGCTCAATCGACGAAACTGATGACGGAAGGCAGTGCAGCATAGCAGGTTCCTAAAAACCAACTTCTGGTAAAACAGGCACGGGAGAGAAGCTGACTCAACTCACAGTCAGTAAGTGAAAAGCTCTCACAATGAAATGTGACATATCAGCAGCACAAAATGTCAGTCCATCAAAAATACTTCATGCTTGATAAATAGCAGAAGGGAATAAGGAAATGAAAACATGACCACTAATAACAGGTTGATTAATTCTGTGTCATTGATGTAAAATTCTCCTCTTTACAAGAATTGTTACAACAGAAGAGAAAACTGCCCTCAAACAGACTTAAAACATGTGAGAAAACAGGTTCTGTGCATGACCAAATGGTCTGGTGATACAGAGACAGAGTTGTGGAACTCAAGCCAAAGTTCACGTTTCTTATCCTTGTATTATCCTCTCATGCAAATATGACTATCCTTATTTATTTCTAATATATTCTGTTTCACTCAACCAGATTTAGACAATCCGGACAAAGATGTCAGCCATGTGCACTCCCACTGCGTCCCGGAACTCCACGTTCACTTTGTGCTGATCAGCGTTGATGTGTGGACTAAAGAGCTTCCTCCTCACTGAGTGAACACCCGTTTCACCCAGACTGAGCCAGTCCAAATTGGCGCATTCTTCCACAAAGTGTGAGTCCACGATGACGTGTATCTGCACACTGAGAGAGAAGCGTCTACACTTTTTGTGCTCACTGTTCCTCGTGGTAACAAGATCCGCACATTTGATTTTGTTTTCATTAACCATTTGATTTATTCTTACTTCATGCTATTTTATGTGTGATGCCACCGACTTTGTTTTTGTTGGACTACTTTCGGTTCTGGTATGAGCGCCCCAGAGCGCCTCCACACCCCCGTGCAGCTTCTTTCCGTCACCACCAGACGACTATCTCTCTCTCTCTCTCTTTCTCTCTCTCTCTCCATATCTCTCCCTCTCCCCCCCCCCCCCTCCCGGTCGAAGCGAAGCCCCGCCCCCGGGGCCTGGCAGTGCGCAGCCGGGAGGCAGGCAGAGCGTTCCACGGCACAGCTGCGCACTGTTCTTTGTCGTTTCGGGCTCCAGAGCGCCTGCTTGTCCTGTACGCGGATACAAAGAGTGGCACCTACAGTATGAGATAAAGAAAAAGAGCATGAGAGCGGCGGGGGGTGCAGCGGGACACGAGCAGCCTCACCGGAACCCTGTGTGTTCCAGCCACGGATTCTAAGCCGCTTTCTCCTTTACTGGACACGGAGCGTCGCCGATGTACACACTGGATATCACCCACCAAAGAGTGTCGAGACCAGGGGGAGAAGGGTGGACTCTATCTCGCAGGTAGGAATCTGTTGTTTCGGCGTCGGACAAACAACGGTTAACGGAGGCATTTGTTTTATTTATTATCTTGTTTGTTGGGGTTTTTTTTGTTTTGTTAGTCGACTGTGGGAACGACCAGCCTGCGGGCTCAATGCGGTGACTCGGTTAAAAAAAAAAAAGCAACGTTTTCGGGCTACGGGGGGGAAGGCCGCGGTTTGGCGCCCTTTCTCCGTGGGAAGCGGGGGGGGGGTGGGGGGGGGGGGATGTGGAAAGCCGAGCCCCGGGAAGCCCGGGTCGCCTTGTCTCATCACTCCGCTGCAGTGCTGCCCTTAGAGCCTCGGTGTGTTCGTGTGTGTGTGTGTGTGTGTGTGTGAGTCAGCTGTAGCCTACGTGCAAACTTGCTCGGGCAGCAGCATAAGCGGCACGTAGACGGCAGGGGCCGCGTATCGGACTCCCGTGATCAAAATATAGTCCCCGGGGAGAGTGGGGGTTTTGTTACACTCGTGATTTTATCGCTCTTCTGTGGATACGCAGCTGTAATTGCATGCATGACGTTAGACCAAAGACACCGGAGCAAAAAAAAAAGAAAAGAAAAGAGAGACAGAAAAAAAAAGAAAAGACAATGTGCAATGACATGTCCCCGGTTAACGTGATTAATCTGCGGCTCTAGTTCCCTGAAGCAGGATTAGGTCATATTTTTCCGCTTCAGTTGGCTCTTTCCTGCTTCCGAAACGAGAATCGGTGTAACAGGCTGTTCCTGTAATGTTCCTACAAGTATTCCCGGGTCCCTGCGTGTCTGCCACTGCGGCGGTGTCCGCGTTACGTGCGCAGGGTCATCCCGGGATCAGAGCACTTTACGGCTTGGCTTGGCTCGGCTTGGCTCGGCTGGGTGGGGGGGTGGTTTCGTTTCAGAAAACACACGGCGCAGGTTTTCCTTTCCAGGAAAGGAAAGGAGCGTTTTCACGCTCAGCGAGCGGCGCGGTGGTTGACCGGAGCGGCGCGTTAATCTTCGTTTTACGCGCCGGGATGACTTCACCGTGGAAACCGAGATTACAGGATTATAGCTCTTATCTTTGGTGACTACTTCTTTCTCTTGTCTTTCTCTTTCCTTAAGGACTGTCGGGGTATAGGAGGAGGTTATGGATAAAACTTTGCACATTCTCCAGAAGCCCGCGACCGGCGTGCCCCTGGATGTGAGTCTGAACATGGACCAAGGGGAAGACTTCGCGGAGCAGCAGATCGAAGGGATGCCGGACAAAATCCCTTTGGTGAAACCTTATTTCAAAAAGAAACAGAGGAAAATAGATGCCAAATGCCTCCATCGCGCCCTGGAGGACCCCATACTGACCACCCTGCTGAGCACGGACGCGCTGGTCTCAGGGGACGGGGTCTTCGTTCCCCGGAACCAGCCGAGCCGGACTCCGGGCAGCCTGTGCGCGGCGGCCGTGGTGAAGCAGAGCTGCGTGGGCCAGGTGTGCCTCAAAGACCCGGGGGCCGCCGACGAGGCCACGGCCGCGGCCGGGGTCGCGGGCCTGATGAGCCGGGACGTGGATGTGGAAATAGCCGATACTACTGAGGAGCTGGAAGAGACGGAACGATCCAAAATCCCCGATTCTACCCCCGACTGCTTTCAGCTGAAACCCAGCCTGAGGGCGTCGGGTAGCACAGAGACAGTAGGGCCCCCCGGCAGGGATATACCTCCCATTGTCGCCCCCCAGGTCTCCCACCAGGAGGGGGCCATCAAAAGCAAAGACTTCTTAACCTCCGGGGCTAGCAATCTTCCAGTCAAAGACTGCCCTGGACTCCAGGACCCCCATTCCCTGCTCCTGCAGCCTGACAAAGGAGTGCTATTTCAGGATAAAAGTGAAGAGGCCTCCCTGGACCTGGTGTTCGAGCTGCTCACTCAGCTCCAGTATCACACACACCAGTCGGACTCGGTGGACATCTGTGTGGATTTCCTCCAGGGCCAGTGTGTCTATGGCAGCGACTGTGCCCACCACCACACCGTCCTGCCGTACCACTGGCAGATCCGCCGGAGCAGCAGTCAGACATGGCAGAGCGTATCCGACGACTCCCAGGAACAGCTGGAGAGACTCTATTGCAACCCTGACAATGACAGAGTCAGGCTCAAGTTTCAGTAAGTAGCTCATCTATGGTGTGTACTTCAACATGTAGACCGTATTATCCCGTGTACAAAGGCATGCCCTGTGGTTGGAGACATGATCCATCTGTGGGGGCACACAATGAGAGGGCATTTCTGATTTTGATCTGCACCATTTGTGCCAGTGAGTAAGGAGGCGAGTCATTCTCACTTCAGTTAGTTGGGAACATGAACTGAAACCACAATTTATGAACTTGTTTACAAGCCGTAAGTCAAACGTGGACTGAAGATCAATTTCATTATCTCAAAAGAAGACGATAAATAAAAGTCGGATCAAATCGTTTTGCTGATCAAAAGACATGATTAATTAAAGGGAAGTATGCTGTTTTGCCGTTCCCACTGCAAATTTACTCCTGACAGGTAAATTGAGAGGCATTTGTAACATGGCAACAACGGCGTCAGTAAGCTGAGATGCTGCCTGTGAATGATCAGCCACTTCTAGTTTGGAGTTTTGGAAACTGTAGACCTCAGCCTGACTTCCCTCTTTGGTTTCACCACCGGTGACAAACTGAAAGCGCGGTTCAACAGCTGTTCTCTGCTCGGTGATAGTGAATCAGCTTGTATTATTAGTGTCAGTGTTGTATGCACGTGTGAACAGTGCCTCTGTTTTTAATGTGTTTTTCAACCGTAGTTTTTTCTTTTTTTTTTGTTTTGTTTGCTATCGTGCCCTGGCACTCCGTCTCTCAGGCCTGATACCTGCTATCTGCTTCCTGTATTTCCCTGCCTGCAAACCCAGCTGCGTGATTGGCTGTGGCTCCACTCACAGCATGATATACAGCCCTCATGACGGAGAGCTGTGAACTTCTCTGACCCTCGGCTGAGTCGTCTGGTCAGAGACGCAGGCAGCCTTGGCAGGCCCCCCCTCCCCTCTATCTTGGTCTTAAACATGCACATTATAGAGTGCATCTGTGCGTGCACGCTAGCAGTTTGGCACACAGAAGTTTGCACGAACAGGCTGTACGGGGGAAACTAAGTGCTCATACACACGCCTTTTAGGAGACAGATAAACCTCCCTTTCACTATTCACACCCAGTAGATACACACACACACACTCATGCACACCCTTGGCAAGCCCCAGTGGGGTGACATAAAGGAGTGTGTGATGCGTCCTGTGAAACTGTGCCATATGCGAGCACATTTATACATGAGCACTCGAGCATAATGGGTACACTCTCCCTAACTTTTGTGACCCTATTCTGAACACGGGTTGCTTTATATTCTCTTTATCCACCCGTTTGAATTCATTTCTTAAAATGTATTTATCTCCGCTATTTATTTTAGTCACATTATTCACTGAACTAGGTAAATGCTCTGGTTTGTGTTGACACAGTGAACTGACGCGGCACTGTGCGCTGTGTCATTACGCTCTCCCTCCCCCAGCTAGATTTACACCCCCGCCAATCGCATCTGATACCTCAAAGCAGTGTGTGTGTGACACTGTTTATGCCCAAAACACACACGTTGGCTTGCACGTGAACTCAGAGATTTGTTTGTGCGTCGGACCTGACGGCTGGTGTATAGCGCTGAAACTATGCAAAGTGCATATTGCCTCACAAACAGGATATGCACCTGGCGGAGTCAGCCCAGAGTTTTCAGAGGCCTTTTGAGCGGGTTACACTCTCTCACAGTCAGACAGGACCGTTGGGCTCACTGCACTGAAACTCCATTAGAAACTAGAATTTCCAGGAAAACTTTGCCAGCAGATTTAACACCTCGGTTGTCTCTTAAAAGACTGTAATGATTCTCTTCCTTTGCACCTACTCACTGTTGTATGGTAACCAGTGTTTTTGCACCTGGCTATCAGACGGCATATTTGTGATATTCTTTGTTTTGAAATGGATTTAGTTATTGAAACACTTTTAGTTTCCATGATGGCTGAACTGTTGTATTCCCATATTTCTAAATGGGTAGATGGGTAGATTCTGTAATATGCTGAGGATGAACTGTTGATGATTGATTTCAGGCTCTCTGAGCCTAATGCACCACAGATCGGTGACACACAAACAAAAAGACACAGTCACTGACACTGTGTTCTGATTTTCGGAGTTCAGTTCTGCCCCAGAAAGCTTTGTGTCATGCTGGGTTTGTGTGTGAGAGCTCCTTTGATACTTGTCCTTAGAAACACAGACCAGTCTGTCTTTTCATGTGCACAAGACCACAAGCGCAGCACCAAAGGATCACCGTGGTTACTCCAGCCAAATGATAACATTGTTAGCGTTATAAGGAGCAGCTGATGACTTTAAAAGCTCGGCTGTCGATATGGCAACAGCTGCCTGTTTCGCCTTTTCCTGCTTGTGCGCAGCAGGAGAGAAGTGGACGGACAAAAAAAAAACAAATAGACGCTTTTGTGTCCCTGCATCTGATTAGTTTCAGTGCTATAGTACTGCTATATGCCCCTCGTTTTTAACTGTCTGTGTTTTATGGGTCTCTCCCATGTGTGCATGATCCATACCAAAGGGTTCATCCTGTCCATATGATAAGCGGGAGTGGAAGTCTGACTAATCCATGTTAGTCATGAACACAGCAGGAAGAAGGAATGTTCCAGTCATCGGTTCTAAAAGTTATGCAGTAATAATCCCCGTCTATGCACTTGCTCGTTAACAGGCTGCATTGTACTGTATGTGTGTGTGTGTGTGTGTGTGTGTGTGTGTGAGATAGAAAGAGGGAGGCACGAAAATCTGAAGTAACATCCATTTGATTTCCTCTTAGCCGATTGGAGTGTTGCGTGACCAGTTTTATTTACAGGAAAGCAGAAATTGTCAGCCGCATCTCTCATAATTAAGCCAATTTCCTGTAATATGTACATAAGGCTTGGAAAACATGTGGTTTAATTCACAGCCACAAAGAAGAACAATTTTCTCACGTGTGTGTGTGTGTATGTCAGAGAGAGCTCTGGAGACAGATTCTTTTGTCAGCCATGCGATAAAAGCCTTGCTTGTCATTAACTGACATAAAGAGTCACTGAACACTGAAGGGCAGAGCGACCTGACACCAAGGTGTGTCTTTGTGTTTATATCATAGGGGATTCCGTGTTACCTCGTTACCTCCAATAAAATAACAAGAAAACAAAAATCAAAGGATGGTGGTGTCTTAAGTGTGCGGGTTTGCAAGCGTGAGAATAGAGGCATCGTCAAGAATTACGGCTTAGATGTGTACAGTTTGAGTGTGTGTGTGTGTGTGTGTGTTTGTAGGGCAATAACGTGTCAGGCGCACCGTGTCATGAATCAGAAGGGCGAGGTCTGGGTCGCTCCGTCTCCTATTAGTCAGTCTCCATCTCTTTTTCCTTTTCCTCTCATTTTCACCTCACATGTCATTGTTGCTCTCTTGTATAAGTATTGCTCTTTTTGTTCCTCATATGTCTCTCAAGGCTGGAAGAGATAAGGAAATGTATCTGTTTATGCGTTGCCTGCACTCTCAGATCTTCTTCTCTGAGGTGACACTTATAATGCCAAACCCTGTTTTTCTTCTTCTTTTTTTTTTTAAATCCTCACATAATTCATGTTCTGTCTGGGTAGCTGTAACGCTTTCACAGGATGGGGTTAAAGAGTCGTGAGAGGACACCCTGAACTGCGAGCTTAATGATGTGGACAGAGTGAAACATTTCAGGACGTGCAGGAGACGGCAGATCCTGTTCTGTTTGTGTTGCTTTTGAGCTTTGTGTCAGAGAAAAAGAAAATAACTAAAAAAAGAGCAGAATCAGAGTGTCTAACTTGAGAGGGAGAACATGACACAGCCCATGACATCAATGCGGTAGTGTGTGTGAGCAAAGAAGCCCGCGTCAGCAGATTTGGTTGACTGACTGACTTATCTAGGCGTGACTGGTTAAAGATTGCGTGTGTGTACATGAATTTTTTCAAAGAATGTGTGCATGTGTGCGTGCGTACAAAAGTGAATACTCCTTTTTTTTTTTTTAGTTGGTGACGTTCACAGTGGCATAGCTGATTATGGAATGCGGGTGCATGTGCTGCCGTGAGAAAGTTTCTGTCTGTCTTCAGGGAGGAGTAAAGGCCACTTAGACAGTGCAGTGTTGTGTTTTTGCCCTATTACAATAGTCATTTGCTTGTTTTTTGTTTGCCCCCCCCCCCTCCCCGACAACGTGGGCGCGCTCACGTGTCCTTCCAACTTTGACCGCCGTCGAATCGGAAGCAATAAATTTCCATGCGTTTAATTTAACTCATGGAATTCTATTTTTAGAAAATGGGCGATGTGGGACACAGGACTGTGTGTTTGGTTCCAGAGACCAGTCATTGTCTAATTGTGTGCGAGCAAAAGAGGTAATGACACACGGATAATCAGCGAGGTGGAGAGGCTGCTTGTAAATGTGACAAAGTTCACCAAACTTCCTCATAATAAAACCTGAATGTTTGTGTATGCATCATAGGTCAGGGATGAATTCACACGCGCACATTCTGAATATCTTGTCCTCATAACATACCGCTGCTGGCAGAAGCTGTTCTGCCCAGAGAGAGGGGGGGGACGGGGACCGTGCAGGTGCATGGCCAGCACATTCTTCCTCTCATGCTAAAAAACAAAGAACAGAGATGTGCTTTCAAATATTAAAAGAAGAAGAAGAAAGAAGCAGTGAAAAAGGGAACAGAGTAGAGACGTGACACAACAAAGTGAGGAACAGTTCTGAGAACAAAGTGAGTCGAAGAGAACAAGTTGACCAGAGGTGAAGCAGAAGATGTGCTTTTTGCCCACTTATGTTTGTGCTATATATTTTCAGTCTCCTTCTCGATCACTTCTCTTTTCCTCTTTTCCCCTGATATCCTGTATATAAATCAAGCCTTTCTGGGTTACTTGACAACATTTCCGAGACAGAGCAGGAAAAGGCCTGAACATGTGTGTTATCTACTTGCCTCCTGGTTCTGGTAATCTGGTGATCTGTTAGTCAGTGAGTCCCTCCTCACTTACTGTTTTGTTTCTGCACGTGCTCAGTAAATGGCCCTCTATGTTGCTTCCTCTTTCAGAAAGGCAGTGACATTATGACTTAGCAGAATCCCACACTTTAAATATAGAGTGTGTAACTACTATTTATATCAGTGTATTGGCAGGGTTTTGGAAAATGACTCAGGGTGACTTATTATCACCTTCCTGACTGAAACTAATGCGTGTTGTGACCTCAGTGACCAGTAATTACACTTCGTGGAAATAAAAACCAAGTTCTTGTTTGCTGCTCTATAACATGCAGTTTCCCTGATTCAGGTGGTAGAATTAATAAGGAGCGTTAGACTGCTGGATGGAAAACATGTAAACACTGGAATGTTGCTTTATTTACTATAAACCTGAGACACACATATACTCACGCACGCACACAAACCCCAGACAAACACATTTGTGATGTCTGGGGGTTTGAAAAAACTTTCCAGATTTTTAAAAAAAAATCCAAAATGTCAGTGGTAACATCGAGCCGTATGACGGTTTCTGCTGTGCGTTCTCACGCAGTGAGCGTTTTACAAAGACTATTTGGTGCTATTTGGTACATGGATGTAATGTGAGTGTTTGTCTGCACGCCTTCAACGCCATTGCTTGCCAGCGTACGATGCCTGCATTTATGTAAGTGTTCTGTCTGACCCAGAAAGGATTTCCCGGAGGCCTTATGAGAATTAATCTGGTCGGACTGATGCACAATGGCAGGGTTTTGACCCACACGTGTTAAGACAGTGAGGGGTTAGGGGACCTTGTATGTGCATGATAAGATTATATTTTTCGGTTTTATTTACTCAGCAGATGGTGACTCTTTTGTGTGCTGAGTGATCAGTAACACTAGTTGAAAGTCCCGCAGAATATACGGCAGCGGCAAACACACAGCAAGCAAGTGAACACACGGTTGTCTGATTGTTGTGAGCAGCTGTTGTGTCCTCTTCTTAAAGTGGATGAATAGCCCATTTGATGGATGTTTTTTTTATCTCATATCAGAACGTGGCGGCTTTTGATTTGGTTTCAGCTTTCCTGTTTTTTTGGGTTATGTCTCATTTCCTATCATTCTCCAGCTCATATGTTGCATGCCAGTTGGGTTTTTGACACAGTAATCCTGTGTGACTCACTTTGTTTGAGCAACTGGAGGTCTCGCTCCGGGGCACATGGGTTGAATTAAGGTTCCATCAGCAGCCACATGTTTGGTCACACGGCTGCTGATTGAAATATAAATTGCGGCCATTTAACAACAAGGTCACCGTCCCACTGCTGCGTGTGAGCTGACTGCTTTCCTTTTTTCTTTTTTTTTTTTTTCATTGGCTGATTGGCACGCTTAGTTCAACGGGTGTTAACTTTGTCTTTCAGGGGCCGAGTGTTTGCCCTCGACTTTGGGACGATGCGAGTGTGTGACCTCGAGTTTGACTGCGTCCGGCGGCTGACCACTCCCCCCAGCCCTCTGCCCATGCCTGCGGCAAACCAGAACCCCACCCCCAGCTGTCACACGGTGTGGAAATACTACTGCAGAGACAACTTTGGCTGGAGGGAGTACTCTGAGGTGAGCCACTCACTGCCTGTGTTTGTTTTCTTACACGCTCTGTGAACATAAGGCCAGACACATTAACTTTGCCCACACCAATCAATTTTGTAGCTACTGAGATTGAATCGATTTTCACACACACACACACAGAGTGAATGAACACAGTCTGATCCCCCTTTGGGACATAGCTGTGTCCGCTTTTTGCAGTTCTTTCCAACAAAACTGTAATAATGCGGTCTTTTACACCCAACTGTGAGACTCGGTCTCCTGACAGCACTTGAGCCTCGTGTTGTTCGATAAGTGACCACGGTTCAATGGCTTTCGGTTCCTTCTCCTTTTGAAGAATGAAAATTCACATGTGCGGAAAATGAAACCAAGCAGTCTTAACTTCTTTGACTCTCCACCAACTCTACTTTTATTCCCGCCCCTCACAGCCGGTGGTAAAGCTCATAGAGGAGGCGAACTCGAGGGGTCTCAAGGAGGTGCGATTCATTACGCTGCAGAACCAGTATATCCTCAACATCAGAGAGGGCTTCCAGCAGAACGCCGTCTTTGGATTCAGGCGCCAGATCAAGAAGCGGCCTATGTTTATGTCGTCTGTGATGCTCACGCCATATTTACAGTAAGTGCACAACTATGACCAAAATACCTGTATATCTAAAGAATTCTATCAGATTCTGTTGAGTGCTCACATTTAAGTAAAGCCTTCTCAAGCCCAAGATTTTGCAATTATTTCATACCTAAAGATAAATGGAATTCCTTTTTTATTTCTTCTCACTCTCTGAAGAAACTAGAAACCTGAACTCAAAGGAAGGAATAGCATTGCTAAATGCTAAATGACAGAAAGCTTCCATTAGTTATTGTAAATGGCTTATTTGATGCTTATCAAATACTGGAAAATGTACCTTGCGTTTTGTGTTGATGCATCATGTCCATCAGCTCAGAGTGAAGGAGAAAAACCCTTCTTATATGGGGAAAATGGGTTAAACCGCAGAACACCACGTTAGGTTTTACCTAGCTGCTTATCCCTGGTGACTGGAAAGTACTACTTTTTTTGCCATTGTCATTATGAACAGGTCAGTTTCTGTAGAAACCACTTGAATAATGAACTAAACAACAAGCTTCCTTTCAAACCTAGCAGCTTCAAAGCTATTTTGATGCTATGAATATTTTTTTCTGTACAGTTAACCTTGATGCACAATAGCAAAGCCCTTTGATAGGTATTGGGAGTTAGAATTGATGCTAATTAACATTTAGGGGGAGTGGTATGCCCTCCATTTAGAGGTCAATCACTTAATTGATCGTCTCTCTCAGCCTCTGCTTTCCTTAGTGCTCTCTGTCAGAGGACTGACATGATTTCCCTCTCAGACCCCAGAATAGTGTAGGTAAAAGGCTATTTTACATAAAGTGCCTGGTAACACTGCTGTGTAACTCGCACACAAAGCTGGCTGTGTAACACGTCTGGTACACTGTCCCCTCATGGCTCTCAGAGTGTCCTCATTTAGTGTGCAGGTACCCAATACCAACGTCACAGTCAGGTCTGAACACCAAACAAAGCCCTTCATCACCACTTCCATCTTTAATCCATTCCAGGGCTGGTGCGCATCGTTTGCCTGAGCTGAACTCAAATCTCATATTAACACTCATCGCAGCTCAGATTTTTTGGCAAGTCAAACTGAGTCACAGAGACACAGGAGTTGTCCCGCGCAGAACGACACGCGCCCGAACCAGACAGACGGAAAATTAGATAATGAGGCAAATGAAAACAGATGATACAGAAAACAAGAACGTGGTTAAAGAACAGCGAGTGGACAAACAAACAAAAATAGTCAGCGGTCTCAATGTCGGGAGCCCTCAGCTCAGAAATACCAATGGAGTTGCTCCCATATCCTCCTATTCCTGTCTTTATGGCACTGGTTTGCCTGGCGGCACTCACCTCAGTCTTATTTTTTTTAAACAAATGATACCAGATTGGAGGCCAGGGGAGTCATATCACCCCATTTGCAGATTTTTGTCATGTTTTTTTCACTTCCGTTGCCAAGCGGGCTGCTTTAGCTGTGTCCTGCCAGGTTGCTCGCGCAGATCAACTGCTAGAACGAGCTGTTCCTGCCCAGTCACGATCGCCAAGAGAAGACAAAACGGAGAGCAAGGGATGGAGGAAAGCAAGAGGAAAATCAGCTAAAGGAAGCGAGACACAGAGAGAGAATGAGGAAGAAAGGCAGCGAGTCAGACAGGAGCTATAGAAAGGAGAGCGGCCTAAATGGCTTCCAGACTAGGAGCTCTGCAGAGATGAGCCGGTGATTGAGAGAGTGTGAAACATTAGGAGCTGGAATTTGGATCGGGGGCTTGCTTGAGGGACTTCACGGATCATCTGTTAATTGCACGTGTGCTTGGATGAACCACTTCATCACAGTCACATAATGGGGACAAAGAGTCTAAACAAGGGAAAGCACTGAAATAGACTTTTGTTACATTTATTTTCTTGTGATGGAATGAGTGTAAGTCAGCGCAGTTTCCTCTCAAGTGACCAAAACAGCATGCGTATCAGGAACAATCTGTGCCAGGCTCAGAGGTTGAGGTCATTAGCTTGATTGGCACTCTCCCTCTCTCCCCTCCTCCCTTTCCCTCGCTCATCTCACCCTCTTGATGATGTTATTTTCAGCCTACACCCCCCCCTCCCCACACACACACACACATACACATACACTCCCCTGATATCTGTCCAAATCCTTCTCCTTTCCACTCTTTTTTTTACCCAACTCCATCATTCTCTTGTTATCTGTCCCCTTTCATTTCACACTTGTTTTCTGCTGCAGTCAGTCTGTGATCTCCTCAAAGCACACGGGAAATAGAGACATCGATTGCTTGGGGAGGGGGATCGAGACCGGACAGACAAGATAAGGGAGAGGGAGGGAAAAGAGATGAGAACAACTGTCATACTAACTCCGAGCCTCTTGATAACACACACACGTAGGCTTTCTTATGGTTGATAGAGCTAACAGCATTCATGCTTTCAGGGCGATAACTTGACAAGCAAACCACTGTTACAGGCTCAAATGCCAGACATGATAGTTTTTTCGTCACTTGTGTGACAGCTCTACAATTGGCATTTTATTCTCCCGTTCTCTCGTGGCCCCCCACCCACCCACCACCGACCCCCTCGGCTTTTTTTTGGCGTCCGGGCTTCATCTTGTGTGCTCCTGTTGTTTGGTTTGGTGGTTGCCCACACCCCTGGCTGTCACGGCTGACAGTGGGAGGAATAGGATTTTGAACGTGCAGACATGCGGATTCAGCGCAGCAATCGGTGGGTTTTGTTTCAGTGGTGATTTGAAACAAATGGGAATGTAGCTGTGAGGAAGGTGGAGGGATATGGTTTCAGATGGAAGTTTACATCCAGTCATCGCAGGCATGAGTGTCACGGAATTTTGGGGGCTTTCAGTAATTTCTTTGAACTGTTTTTTTTTCTGGGGAAGCCAGTCTTTCCCAGAAAAAAACAGTGGGAGGAGGGTCATCAGAGGCAGAATTCAGCCATGTCCATGATGACAAAGTTAACGGCTGAGCCTGTGCCATCCACAGGCTCTGAATAAACAGTGCTGTGAGAGCTGCTTCCACTGATCCCACGTAGGGATGGACAGCGTCTAATGAAAGAGCCCTGTATGTAAAGCTGAGATCAGATATACAGTGCCACAGTCAGAGTTACAAATTGTATCACAGAGCATGTCCCACTGAAACTGACCATCACTCCTGATCTGGGCTCCATTGGTTGGTTTGTTTAGACTCAGAGCGGGTCATATGACTGTATGTCAGTTTTTTTTCTTTGGTTGCATGACAGTTTCTTATGGCATGTCTTAAACTTTCCAGGAACATGTTTTTTAATTGACTCCTCCAAACAGTAAGTTCCTTTGTACAACCATGAAGCCACAAATACCAAATCTAATGCTTTGAATTTTTCCTTCTTTTCATGACACTTTAGGCACTTATTTCCAGTAAATCTTCTGACGTTTTCTGCCTTATTTATTTTCCTAGGACATTGGGCGGTCTCTCTTTAGCCCCTCTCCCCTCCTCATCCTCTTCGGCCTCTGCATCCATCGATGCCTCGGCGTCGCATCCCCTCTCACCAACAACCACCAACCCGCCCAGCCTTTTCCCAGAAACGTGGTTGCCAATGACGATGAGCCAGGACTTCCTGCGGGTGCCTGTTAGCCGCGAGGACCGCAGCTACAGGACGGTGTACAGCCTGTTCCACAAGACTGTGTCGGAGACCAAATTCAGGATCATTAAGATCCAGCGCGTGCAGAACGCCTTCCTGTGGGAGAAGTATAAGAGGTGAGAGCAGAAGCAGGACACCAGAAAAGATTACTTTTTTCATGCATCTTGGCATGGGAGTTTTTGTGTGTGTGCACTGTGTGTATGACTGATTCACATCTGAACATAACTGCCTCCTAATAATCACTGTCTGAGAAAGACACGATTTTTCAAGCCCTTTTTTCCCCTCGAGCAGAATCTAGTTAAAGACTTAAGACAGTAGTTCTTCAGTTCCATGTGCTGCTCCATGTTTAGATGAAATTATGAAACCAGGGTGGTGGAGAAGGAGTACCAGATGCCTGGGGTTGAGCCGAAGAATATGTGACACCAAGCTGTAGAAGAGTATGAGAGCGAATGATTAACAATGCAAGAGGGAGAAAATAAAAAAGTAAATGGGCCAAATGCAGCCAGCTGTGTGAGACTTCGTGAGAACAAGCCGCCGGTGGTGTGTGAACACAGCAGATGGAGAGATGTTTGGTGATGAAGATGTTCCTGTTGTGAGTGCAGCAGGCTAACCACTGTGGTTGGAGAATTGCAGGTCCCATCAGCTGTGACAGTTAGACTCTACCACACGGGCCGGTAGCGCACGGTTTCACAATGACTGACGGTGTGCACGCATGTTACCATCTGAAAGCGATGCCCCCTCCCTCTGTCAGTTGATTTACTTTTCCCACGCTTCTGATGGGACAAACCATGACTACATGTCTGTTTGCCTTAACATGTTGGCGCTGCCACTTGGCTTGTAGTCGTAAATGTGAGGAGAAGCGAAGCCCCATCAACCTAAATTTGTTTAGGCTGAAATCAAATGTGAGTCTGTGTACGTTGTCACCTCACAGGCTGTGGTATCAGGGGAGGTCATGTGCAGGTCACAGCCTCTGTGACTCAGATGCTTTTTCCTGTGTGTGTCTGCTTGATCGGCTCTCACCTAACGAGTGCCATATACACGCGTATGAACACCCCCCCCGCGATTTTGCAAGTTTTTGATTCATGGACACAAAAAGAAAAACGGCTCATCCAATGCTGCACTCAAATTAATCACTCCAGAAGGGACCTTTCTTAGCATGTCATCTTGTTCCACAAGAAGAACTGGGGAGACGTGTTTAGGTGTCTACATTTGCAACTAGATCTCACCGTCTCCCTCTGTTTGGTCCCACAGGAAGAAGGAGTACATGTCGCGCCGGATGTCGGAGATGGACCGGCTCTTGAGCGAGCGCCACCTCTTCCACGGCACCTCCGCCGACGTGGTCGAGGGCATCTGCAAGCACAACTTCGACCCGCGGGTGTGCGGCAAACACGCCACCATGTTCGGCCAGGGCTCCTACTTCGCCCGCAAGGCCGTCTACTCCCACAACTTCTCCAAGCGTTCCCCCAAAGGAGTTCATTGTATGTTCCTGGCCAAAGTCCTTACTGGAAGGTGAGTGGGAGTACGGCAGTTTACGGGGATCTGGACCGCTTTTACCCGCTAACCAGAAACTAGGCGCATCAGTTTATGTAGAATCACTGCTTATTAAGTGTTTCATTTGCCAGATCCAATGAAAAGGAATTCATTTCCGAAATGTCTCATGCAGCACGTTTGGTTCTATACTGTGCTTGTTGTATACTTCAGACAACAGCAGCCACATTTTTCACATCCTTAGCTCCTGAACGAAGTTGACATACTTGTGTTTCTCAGTTGTGTGAGGTTTAGCATCCCAAATGTACCTCCCACGAGCTCTGTGCTCTCAGATGAAATTTGCAGAGCACATCAACATTCACGGGGTCATGAAAATCGTGAGGTTCTTTTCCATAAACCATCATCTCTGCATCGTGCTCCTCCCATTCCTTCAGATCCAAGTCAAATCTGCAGCCGCACATGTAAAACAGCTGATTTGGCTGGTCCCGTCACACATCACCTTTGTTATGCTGCTGCAGCCCGAGGGTTCAGTGGGGCTTTGGAGTCGCCCCTCCCCCCCTTTAGGCACATTTCTACTCTGAACCTGGGTTCAATCGGCTCCACAGCACAGGCAGAGACATTGCTTCCAGACTGTGCTTTTGTGTTGCTGACAAAGGTCTTATTTTAATGTGCTTTATTTATGATCCCACTGAAAATGGTGCTAGGAAGGATCCATGATAAGTCTCTTTGCTTTGACATGAATATTTGAGAGTAGGCAACTACTGCTAACAATACACCGGTTCATTTCGCATATTTCACAATACACAACGTATGATTACACTTTTCACTGAAAGATCCAGTCAAACAGATGAGAACATTGACGTATAGATCTGCTTTAAGGTGGTTAATAATTGTCGAAAACCAATGCAGACTACATAAATTGCCTGTTTACATATCATTGGTGGGAAATAAAACCCCAAAACTGAGTTTTTCCTTTTTTCTGTCCTCTTTTGGCACACTAAACAGGTTCACAGTTGGAAATCCTTCGATGAGACGACCTCCACCCATCAACCCCCGTGATCCCTCCAGTGACCTTTATGACTCCTGCGTGGACAACTGGGTGGACCCCCAAATTTACGTCATCTTCAATGACGATCAGAGCTACCCGTACTTTATCATTCACTACGAGGAGGTACCCAGCACTGTCGCTGTTTAAGCCTGACGTCCCAACTTGTTCTGCTCGAATTGCATCAAGTCTGGATGTGTCTGTTGGGTTGATAAATGGGTGGAGTTTATAACGTTAACTGAAAAATTAAGATCAGTACAGCCGGCACTGACGTTTTTAAGATCTCATGTTACTGCCTTTATTGGACTTAATGAATGAATTAAACTTCACCCATGGGGTACTTTAAACAGATTGAACCGGATTAGCAAATGTTTGCAAATACTCAGCGATCCAGATCTACAGCAGGCTGGATCCAGACAGACTGGGCTGTGTAAGGAACAACAGACCAGATTCAACTGGAATAACTGGCTTTGCAAAGGACTACACCTGATTGATTCAGTGTTCAGATGAGGAGGACAACTGAAACAGCTGCAATAGACTCAAGAGGACTCTCACACCACAATGTAATAACTTCAATGAACCAGGAACCTGGCGATCATCACCAGGAAAATTATTTTACAGATTTGGAGCAAATGCAGGAAAATTAGAAACAAAGCTTGTCCCCTTATCATGACTTAATTTTTTGGACTGGACATGAACTTGTTTCCACATCAGGACAAACACTGTAGTTGACGGTTAGTGTCCTACGAGTACTGTGAATGACCAACTGGCCATGTTATTGTTTTAAGGAATCAGCAAAGAACCAATCAGAGGCCTCTGGAGAGAGACCATGGTAACTTTGACCGTCATGTCATTCTCTTTTACTAATCTTAGTGAGTGCATACCCAGCCTCCTACCCAGTTTTTGTTTTCTAGTCTCTGTGCTGCGTGTTTGTTTTTAAATTTAGTGGACATTAATCTTGTGGCCTATTCAAGCAGACAATAGACGAGTCTCAGAGTGACATCCATATACTGTAAACCTCCTGGCAGAGGATTCACATGAAGCTGCTCCTAGTTGCCGTTTATGCGTCCATAAACTTTTGCACCCACTGCTTTGGTTCCTCTCAGGAGAGGGAGACGGGGGAGGGGGAGGGGGGTGGGGGGGTTGGGGGGTCAAAGAGTGTGCGGATCGACGCTGAGATGTAACAATGTTACGTCAATCAGTCAGCCGAAGCTCATCTCTCTCGGAACGTTCTCTTGCTCAGAGACAATAGACTTTTTGTTTGTTTGTTTGTTTTTTAGACAAACTGTACAGGTGTTTTCTTTGTTTATATTTGAACTGTGTGCCTTTTGTTCATAAAAATGTTTATTTATGTTAGTTTAATGTAACATTGATTAAATAAAAAAAAATCTAAAAGAGCAACTGAATTGAGTGGCCAGTGTGTGCTGTGTTCAAATTGTATGGATTCAGAGAATGACAGATGGAGGGACAAATGCATATAATCCATATAATTAATTGTTAGTTGTGGACAAGAATTAATGAGAAGGCCATCCAAATGTCCTAGAAGAAGAGAACCTTTGTTAACCTCTTTTCAGAGATAATCCTACTACTAAATGCTGCTAATGTTGAAACTCCAAGCAATGTTTAGAATTATAATAATTGTTCTCGGAACCAGTGACCTAATAAAAAGTAAATAATAGATTCAGCTGATAGATAACAAAACAAGTGCATTTTGTTCTAAAAAGCATCTCCAGAACTCATAAAAACAGGAGCAAATGTATATAACCTCACATTATTAGTCACAAAAACTCCACAAAAAGGGCTTTAACTTCATCCCAAGAGGCTCGTTTTTTTTTAGCATACTTTTTCCGGCCTAGTTTTTAAATGTGAAATACTTATTATTTGGCCGACAGAAGAGGGAGAAGAAGAACATCTTTCTAGCTGCAGTAAATGGCCAGACACTAGAAATATTCCACCTGCCAGAAGTTAGAGTTAAATATTTAGCTACCTATTATAAAAATTTTCAAAAACATGAATTCAGCCTGTAGTATACAATTAGATCATTTAATAAAAACACAAACACGTATACATAAACATTTGTGCTTTGGAGTGCTTTTACTGAATTATTGGCATGATTTATGATGTAAATATGCATTTCTGCAAAATAGGAGCAACTGAATATTGTCACCAGTTCAGAGCTTAGTCTTAAACTGCATCCTCAAAATGAAACTGGTTTCAGACAGCTGCTGAAAGTTCGCCTGTTATGTAAATGTCTTTAGCCTTTCATCATATGACTTGTATACAGTATGTTCCAAATTACTCAATTCTAAGTTGTGGGTGGATGTTTTTAACCTTGAGCAGTGCCAGACTGTTATCTCCTACTCAAACGGTCTTCTTGCTGAGAGAATGGTATCGATTCTAACTTGTTTTATTCCACATTAGAGCAAACCAACATGTTTACCAAAATGTCAGTAGAGGTACTTTCCTCTCACTGCATTGGTGAAATGACCTCTGCAAAGTGTTACTTTGATAAAAGCTGAAGCTATGAACATTTTAGGAGTTTTTTAATCAGATAAAACATATTAATTCTAAAACTTAATTGGGCTAACGGAGGGGCATGCATGAATGAATTTGTTATAATAGCCAAAGCAGAAAAACAACACTATTGATATGTCATTGAAGATCCAGAGTGAGACCATTAAACATTACAACTCATTACTGAGCTATCAGTCCTCTGATATTAATATAATCTGAACTCTGGTAACTGGTTTTCCATAGTCCTTTTGGTTTTCTTCTTTATTCTACCTTTGCGAGTATTCAGCTCAAAATGAATGTGGTTGGATTTGGAGACTACAAAACCATTTGTTGGGCTTTGAAAATGTTGCTATTCTCTGGTGATCTTGTCATGTCACATGGAGGTAGCTGAAGACTAAACACCTCCCAGCGCAAACCTGTTGACTGTGACTAATATTTCAATATTTTGCCAAATGTTCCTATTACTCACTTCCTGGTGAGACAGAACGGTGTGACCTGTTGCAAAGCTCACAGGTTGTCACAGAGCAGGTTTGTTTTATACAACAAGAAATATATTTTCCTTCTAGAGCTTCTAATAGCTTGACCATATTTACCAAGTATACCTGCAACAAGTATCTCTCCGACCCTGACTAACTATTGTTAGTTATTGTTTAAAAAAGTTAGTGTTTAAAACCAACCAGGACATCAAAGTTTTGTTGTGTTTTCATGTAAATGAGATAATCAGCTAAATGGCACACATGGAAGTGACTGCCAGGTTTTTTTTTTGTGGAATATCCTCAACAAATAATGTTTTTAGATTTTACCAGCTATTTTCTTAGTGTCTGAATCCAGTCGGGATATGAGTGTAGAGATAATTGCCGTGATTTGGTTTGTATCTAGCTTGTCTTTACGTATGCAGGATATGGTTCAAATGACTGTGCCTAGTCATGACATCCAGCCATCCTCCTTCATTCCATTGAGGATTTTGTGGTTTTTTCGACAGTTAGAGAGTTTGTTTGATCGAAACTGAACCTTAACCTAGAACTGAACATTTATATTTTGGGGTGAGAACCACTGATTAAAAAAAAGAGTTTTGGTCAACAGTGATTGGCATGATTTTGATGGCAGGTTTTTTCGTTTTGGTTTAAGTGTACTGCTGAGTCTCAGGTCTCTGTTTGGCCTGTCGGTTGAGAATTCTCATGCTGAGCTTCACCTTTTGGCAGAAGAGAGAAAAATACAAGAAAGAAAGAGAGGGGGAAGTCTTTGGCAAAGACAGTGAGGTGTAAAGAGAGTTATTTTGATATCTGCATGCTTCCTTGCTGAGCTTAGTGCCTTTCTGTTGTTTTGTGTTCATGGAGGATCACACAGGTTGCCCTCTGTTTGCCCCTTCCTCCCCGTCTCGCTCGCCGAGATTCCCCAGCTCTTCCTCTCCACCCAATACTCCGCTTTGTTTAATTGGGGCTTCTTTTTTCATTTTACCTCTCCTCATCACTTCCTAACAGCGTGAAACACTTTTACTTTCTCATCATTGTGATTTCACCCCTTCCCTCTCTCACTCTTGGTCTCTGTAACTAGGTGAGTCATGCAGCAGGGACTGGCTGGGCCTGTTTGCCTCACTGCCCTCCAGGAATTACCGCTGGCAGCCAGACAGTGCTGCTTGACCTGGACGTTGAGGTTAGCAGAGGAGAGTTCGAAGAGGATGGCATTAGGAAATGCAGGGGTGGGTGGGGGGCAAATGAGAGAAGCCCAAAGGAAGGGGAAAAAAATGAAAAGGAAAGATGAGGCTGCAGAAAAACACACACACATACACACACAGACACTGTGCCTGTGAGAGACAGAGATAAAGTATGACCATCATCAGAGCTTAGAAAGGAGTTGGAAATGGAGTTTGATCTGTGTGTGTGGGTGTGTGCATATCAGTGTGTCCACATTGTGTCCACATTGTGCTTGTTCATTTGAAATAAAAACAGAGAGACCAAGCTCCTAAAACAGATGCAAATCAGTTTGACTGGAACTACTTTTGGTTTTGCTGTACTCTACACTCAAGTGTGTACCTACATCAAGAAACAGAAATGATGAATGAACACCCAGCTGATTAAATTTTAATCACACACAGTGTTTAAAAAGAGGTTTGTCTCTCGTGGACTTTGACCATTTAACTCTCCTCTGCTGATTTATGAAAACGTTTTTGCTACTGATGTGTCTGCAAAGTTGCTTCAGCTGATTGTATAGTCAGTGATTCTAAGAGCCTGGCAGGATTGTTTTTCTTTCCTTCAGGATGATGCTAAAAGACAGAAAAAAAACACCCGAACACCACTATTAATGTGCCGCACACTGTGAAACTGCACGTTGTTTATCACCGGAAGTGCTGGTGTTTTTTTCAGTAATAACCGATCTGCATTCATGGATGATTTTTCTCTCTAACAAGTAAATTTTGCACACGAAAGATCTGGAAAAGTTCCAAACTAAAAGATTACACACACACAGAAAGACAAATGCTCCCAAGCTGCCTGCAGCATGTAATTTATTGTCCAGCCGTTTTCTTTAGTGCATCCCAATGAGACATTTGCTCTATGCAGGCCTGTAGTTTTGTCATTCCAACCATTCAGCCGATCAAACCCTGAAAGGAAAGAAAACAGAGGATTGAAGCATCCTGGGAAAAATTAACCTGTCTGGTAAATGGGGAGATATAACAAATAAAAATTTGATAAAAATACATTTTAAAAAAGAAAATAAAATAAAAAAAACATAGATATATATGTAGTGAGAGAAAGAGAAAATTTTGATTTTATACATGAAAAGATCATGCATGGTATATACTAATTTAATTCATAAATAAAACAAAGTGAGAAGGGAGAAAAGCGTTAATGTATTTTTATAAACTGCTAAGCTAGAAATTTCAAAATTATTTAATTTTTTGGGGGGGGTTTGTGATATCACTTTGAAGTGTTTGGTTGATACTCTCTGCTGATTTTCCTTCACTTTTTGCTCCTTTTCTCTCCCCCTCGGGTCTCTTCAGCTGAAACTCCTCAGAATTTCACTCTGGAGCCTCAAAGTATGGACTTAAGCTTTTTTATATTGCTCTAATATCTCTATCATTCAAGCACATGCCGACATGCACGCAGGAGCTCACATTTGTTTTTCTTCTTCTTTTTTTTGCACAGACTCTGTCACACAGAAACAGGTATCGAAGATGCGTGCAAGCTTTGGAGCTCTTCTTACACGCACACATAAAACTAACTGTCATGTGTGCACATATGTATACATGCAGACCTGCATATGCAAAGATACACCCACCCACCCTCCCACGTACACACTCACACACACACCCTTCCTGCATTAAGCCCGGGCCCATATTGCTCCAACGATACCCAGCTGCATCCAATGAACATTCCAGTTGCTGTTTCTTTTCCCCCTTCCTCTCCATCATTTCAGATTTCAGTTCTAAGCCTTAAAGAGTGCAAGCGGCCAAATATGGTCTGGCTCGTGTCATGAACTTTGCACGACCTTCTAAAGCTGTAAAGAGACGGTGACCTTTGAGACCCCGCCTGAAGCTGAGCTTTGGGCACAGTTTTGCATGTGCACAGAAAGCAAACATGTGAATGCGCTTTTGCACTCTGCTGTCGAAAAGT